ATGGCGCTTAATCTTAGTCGCCGGGGGAGCGGTTCGCGACGACATCCAAGTACCCACAAGAACAAATTATTACAAATAGCCTGTAGCCTGTGGCCGCGAACCTTCTAGAAAGGGCTTTCCATCATCGAACAGAAGGTCGCCACAAATCTGTCTGTCCGCTGCCATTATTTCGTCTTGGACCACGGCTGAAACGTTGGCGACAAAGTATCTATGCGGCCGGTTTCATCTGAAGGACAAACAGCGAAAAGCAAATATTTGATACCCCTCCGGGGACGAGCAAAAATGCGAAAGTTTGTTCAATACAGAGGTTGAGTCAAAATCGAAACAATTTTATGGACACTAATTTGCTCTAGTCATATTATGCAGCAAAATGCATACGAGTACAACAGCGGACGCACAGTTAAGAGCTCCTCTAACCAGTTGCACAGCTGATAAACCAGATTCTTATGCCATGACCTTAAGGACGTAATTGTTTCTGCCGTTGAATCTTATTGACTCATTTTAATTAAAGATAAATTACATGTCTAGATAATGAGCAATCGAATAATCTGTGCTGCTAAACAGATTAGTTCTGAAATGAGAGTTTTCATCATGAAGCGAATTTTTGTAGTCACTTAACAGGCTGACATCACCTCAGAATTTTGGTATCTGGTTTAGAACCGATTTTCTATTTTACACGAGGAGTACGTTACCCTTCAGCAGTGACCTTCATATGGCCTAAGGCTTATTCAGTGACGCAGTAGAAACGACAGTTACCAGTCTGGAGTGATAAGCAAATTAGTTTTGCACGTAACCATTCAGTCCGCGGTCAGAGTGACTTCTGAATACATTTGCTGTAAAGAGGGAAAATCAAGTCAGTCAATTTGGCCTTTTTCCCATAGATTCCATGAGGAATTTGGGCGTTCGTCCGGTTGACACTGGTTGACCGTTTACTGAACAAGCCAAACAAGGCAACCGGTAACTCGGCAAGTCCAGTTCGTGCATTAATTACTTTTGTGGCAAAGTCCTGCAAGTGAATAAATTCCAGTGCAACGATATACTGACAAAAACCTTCCAAAAACTATCAACAATACTGTGCAACCGAAGGTGCGAACAGAAGTGTGATGGAGCTTAAACGGTGTCGGCAGATGTTGGACGGAAGCTGCTAGAACTATCGCTGCCAATCAACTAATGGCTGTTTAGTCCACGGAAAGCCTTTGTTCGAAATTTCTTCTGAGAGCACCGCTCTCGTGACTGCCGTTGGCCTCTATGGAATATGCCAGTTTATGAATACTTCAATCGTCCACGGTATGAGCGAGAGCATCAGGTACCCAAGTGAGGGTGGAGGTTGGAAAATTTCAAGCACGCCTTTAAGCTAACGTAAAACTGTTTGTATTTCCAAATAACAAAACCATGAATTACTATACTGCGAGCATGTTAATAAGAGAATTAGTTCCCGAACACCGGGATTCGACCTTCCACTGCACCTGACCGATGCTCAAAGATGTCTGTGGAACTGTTCTGGAAATGGCGTGTTTTTGTACGCCAAAGTTTGGCCGCAATCGTTCAACTCGATTCAGTCCAAATGACGAAACTGCGATGATCAATTACATTTTAACCTTGACATTTTACTCATCACCACATGACCAGGAGTTGCATAAACATATTCAGAAATCGTTTTACATGTAGGCTGGTCTAAAAAATGAAATAATTACATTTTAATTTTCTTCAAAAGATGGCAAGAAAATTGGGCTAGGACTGGCTTGTCGACTTAGCATGAGAGCAAAAATTTAATCAACTTTTCGGAGTATCGAGATGAAGTACAGGCAGTCACTGAAGGCATACTAAATGAATAATAAAGTCTTTGACTAATTTTATTACAGTCCCTTGAAGAAAATAAAAATTCAATTTCTTTGGAACACGTTCTTATCATGGCAAAAATGTTCGAGCACAATTTAAACATAAGAACTGTGATGTGCTCGAAACTTATGAAATATTCCTGATAACATTCTCCATAACCGTGTTGGAGTTCGGATCCCGAAACATCATCGATGACTGGTCTAATCAATAAAACGATGAAAGATTAATATATTAATGAGATACTAAAGTACCATAGAGTCCTAGTGAAAGGATCCCTTTATCATCTCGTTCCTAACGATCCATAATACCATTTGGTGTCGGCCCATTCTTTATTACTGGCCATATCGAACAGTTGAAAAATTTAGACAAACAGTACTTCATTTGAAAACTCTTTCTGGCATTAATTTGTGCCGAGTATTTATTTCAATGCCCTCTAGCAGGTTAACAGGGTCGAAGAACGATGGTATGGTGGTAAACAAAATGTCAAACTTTCCGTGTCATTTCGCAAAGAAGCACAGTCTATTATTCACTTAATCAGTTTCTTCACATCGACGATTATCTTATTTCCTGCTCGGAATCTGACACAACGCAGGCTGTCCTGATTAATTTTCTTTCTGGGTTGTTGTAATGTCAGAGAAATCGAGAAATGACAGGAAAATGGGAAAAAAATATCTTTCAATTTCCATTTTAAAATCAAAGGGAAGAATCATTTTATTTAAAAGTTCTACTATAATGCGACCGTAATGGTTTTCAAAGTGGCAGGTGTTCTTGTAAAGAAATTTCCAAGGGGGTCTAAACACTGGGCTCGATTTTGATCAATGTTTATAAATAGCTTTTTAACAGATTATTTTTTTTCAGTCAGTCAGTCAGTTTCAAAGACTGTTCTTCCTTTCTGGTTGCATCAGACATTGTCTCCAGCGTTCTCGATCAGGTCCAGCATTTTAGCTTCGGTTAAAGATAACCAGAGTCTAGAGCAGACACTTACCCAAAGTCATTCCTGGCCATCCCCTGGGTCCTCATCCGGTCGGATAGGCAAGTTGTAGCTGTTTCGCCTTCCTTTTCGACAGCTTTCGCAAGACGTGCTCACATCATTGCAGCTGTGACTTCTTAATCTGGAGAAGCAGCAGCTGTAAACCAAGGCCCTGTCGATTATCTGTGTTCTGGACCATGTCGAGACACGGGAACCAAGCGATTTGTCTCAAAAACCCATTTCAGTTGCTTGATCCCAAGATCGGTGTTTTTCAATGATGACCATAGGTGAGCATGGTATTTTTCCTTTTGAATTATTTAAATAGTTTATTTAAGATTCAGGGAGTGCGCAACAACTTTTGAATCCGTAGTAAGATCCATAACTACCGTGTATCTCAGGGTGGCGAGCTGCCTGTGCGTAGGTACAGGAAGGAATAAACATAAAACATCAGTCCAGCATGGCTTCCTTTGTTACGTGATTAAGCTGTTAAACAACGCATACTGTCTGAACTCGTGTGACTCACCTGCCACAAACTCATCAACATACTCTTGCAATCTTGCCTCAGTACCCCAAACACTCAAAATGCATGAAGAATATCCACAACCCCGGCGCCAAAACAAAACTCGTCATCCACAAAATATCGAGAGGAAACTACTTCAAGTTTTACCATACCTAAGCTTCGCTCGCTACGTTGAGGTATAAGATCATTGCGGATCTAGCTCCGGATTCAACAAGAATTGCGCACTTCCTGAACCCGAAATAAACCATTTAAGTAACTGAAAAAACACCTATATGAATAGTAAATTAGTAAAGTACAGTAAGTAATAAATAGTAAACTTTAATCCAAAACCAGTTATCAGATTATCTTGAAAAGTTCTTCTGAAGGACACCTATTAGGTTGAATCTGATTAACTGCTGAACGTACGACTTCTTTTTCTAAATTATTCACAAATCATAAAAATTAAGCTAATCGCAGGGGAGCATTA